TCCAGGTCTGAAATCGGTCTGCTACTCGAGCTAGGTCCGCGAAACTATTCGTATTCTTCGAGTCATCTTGACAGGTGCTGTCGGTTTTCTGTACTTAACTCGGGCTGAGGCACAGCTACAGAGCCGATACGCACACGAATCGATTCAGACTCATGAGACGCGTTCGTCTGTCCCAAACTTTTTTTTTTTTTTTTTTTTTTTTTTTTTTTTTTTTTTTTTTTTTTTTTTTTTTTTTTTTATATATATATATATAAAAAGAAAAACAAATAGTATTATATATAATAATAATAATATATATTTATATTATTATGTATATATGTATGTAAGTATATATATATATATATGTATGTATGTATATATATATATATGTATATATATATACTTTTTATATAAACGAATTATATATATATATATTATAGTTATATATATATTATTGAAATGATGGTGAATTTCTTCACTTAACTCGAGCTGCAGATGAGCTTGAGAGCTCTTTGGCACAGAAATCTGACGAAAATCATGGGGCGCGCTAGTTTGAAGTATCTAGACGCTTCGCTTCGGTCTGTTATAAGCGCAGACGAGTACTCTGCGATCTTTCTGGTGATGGGATTCGTTTTCAGGACTGCACTCGAAGTGCAGATGAGCTTGAGAGCTCTTAGGCATTGCAATGGGAAGATAATCAGCGCGCTTTTGCAAAGTATCTACACACCCGCGCTCATTCTGCTACTAGAGCTAGGGCTGAACACATTCGTACTCTACTACTTTCTTGGACATGGTACTGTTTTTCTTGGTTCTACTCGCGCTGCAGATGAGCTACAGAACTGTTCAGCACAGCAATGGACAGGAAACTATCAGGGGCAATCGTGAAACGTATCTAGACGCCTGAGATGAGTCTGCTATCAGCGCTCGGGCTGAAAAACTATTCGTTCTCTGCTAATTCTTTGGACATAATATATGGCAAGGAAGCTCTACGAGTCTCCCGGCGGCAAGAAAGGTTGACGGTTTACCGCGGGCGCCCAGTCTTACCTCGTGGAGCTCTTCGGCATCGATGAGCTAGAGGAATTCCGGCGCGGGGTGCAGCTAGTAACTCGTAGAGCTTCCCTTAGCTAGTTGCTGGAAGCTTAAGAGTAATTCTGGGGCGCTGGAGAGCTAGTTGGCAAGAAACATCTCGACTGACTTTTTTTTCTGACTTTTGCTCGGTTGAAAACTTTGTTCTCGAAATTCAGCAATTCGTTTGAGGTCTAATATTTTTTCCCGTGATATTCGATCTTATTCCCGCTCGCCGTCTTAATCTCAGCTCGATCGGGTACCTTTCACTGCCAAAAAGCACTCCGGCGGGATCGGCTGTTTCGAGTCATCTTAACACGCGTTGACCGTTTTCTGTACTTAACTCGAGAATTAGGGAAGCTCCAGAACTGGTACGCACAGAAAGCGATTCAGAATCATCAGGCGCGTTGATCTGTTGCATCCAGAGGTCTGAACTCGGTCTGCTACTCGAGCTAGGTCCGCGAAACTATTCGTATTCTTCGAGTCATCTTGACAGGTGCTGTCGGTTTTCTGTACTGAACTCGGGCTGAAGAAGAGCTACAGAGCTTGTGCGCACAGAAATCGATTCAGAATGATCAGGCGCGTTCGTCTGTTGCATCCAGAGGTCTGCACTCGGTCTGCTACTCGAGCTAGGTATGCGAAGCTATTCTTATTCTTCGAGTCATCTTGACAGGTGCTGTCGGTTTTCTGTACTTAACTCGAGCTGTAGAAGAGCTTCAGAGCTGGTGCGTACACGAATCGATTCAGAATCATCAGGCGCGCTCGTCTGTTGCATCTAGAGGTCTGGACTTGGTCTGCTTGGCGAACCTATTCGTATTTCTCAAGTTTTCTCAACAGGCGCTGTCGATGTTCTGTGCTTAACTCGAGCTGTAACATAGCTACAGAGATTGTACGCACACATAATCGAGTCAAAATCATCAGGCGCGTTTGGCCGAATCATCTAGATCTCTGAACTGTCTGCTACTCGAGCTAGGTGCGCAAAACTTTTCGCATTCGACCGATTTTTCTCCGGAATGACGGTGAATTTCTGCACTTAACTCTAGCTCCAGATGAGCTTGCGAGCTCTTTGGCACATAAATTAGAAGAGAAGCATGAAATGTATCTAGACGCCTGAGATCAGTCTGCTATCAGCAATCGCCTGAAAAACTATTCGTTCTCTGCTAATTCTTTGGACATAATACATGGCAAGGAAGCTCTACGAGTCACCCGGCGGTAAGAAAGGTTGATGGTTTACCGCCGGCGCCCAGTGTCTAGAAAAAGGTGAAATTGACATTTTTCGGTGGCAACAAGAAGTCGGATCTGGACAGTAAACTAATAATGAAACTGGCTCTGGAGAGCTGAGCTGCTCTGGGAACATAGTTTATATGCCAATGCTCGGCGTAAAATCTGCTCTGAAAATGAATAATCAAATATCTTTCAAATCTTAGCAACACAAACACAAAGTTATCACATTGTCCGTCCGGGCCGGATCGACCAACGAGCTCCACCCCGCGCCGGAATTCTTCTAGCTCGTCGATGCCGAAGAGCTCTACGAGGTACATAGCCCGCCCGGGCCGGCTGAGCCAGCTAGCTGCACCCCGCGCCGGAATTCCTCCAACTGATTGATGCCGAAGAACTTTGCGGTACTAGCTGTGCCCTGCGCCGGGATTCTCTAGATCATCGCTTCCGAACAGCTCGACGAGGTATTGCTCATCTAGCTTCGCCGCTAACACTCTGAGGGAAGCTCTACGAGTCACTTGGTAGCGTCCAAAACCCGGATAGCCAAGAGCATTAGTAGCATCCACTTGCCATAGCGTCCAAAACCCGGAGAGCAAGCAGGCAATCCGGGAACTGGGCGTCGGCGGTAAACCGTCAACCTTTCTTACCGCCGGGAGACTCGTAGAGTTTCCTTGCCGTATATTATGTCCGAAGAATTGGCAGAGAACGAATAGTTTTCCCGCCCGGGCGCTGATAGCAGACTGATCTCAGGCGTCTAGATGCATTTCACTATTGCCCCTGATGATTCCCTTCCCATGCTGTGCTGAACAGCTCTGTAGCTCATCTGCAGCACGAGTAAAACCAAGAAAAACATTATTATTTCGAAGGAAGTAGCAGAGTGCGAATCGGTCGTCAGCCCTACGTTCAAATAGCGCGCATGATGATTCTCTTCCCATTGCAATGCCTAAGAGCTCTCAAGCTCATCTGCACCTCGAGTTCAGTCCAGAAAACGAATTCCATCGCCAGAAAAATAGCAGAGCATGACTACTTTGTCTGCGATCGTAACGAACCCAAGCCAAGCATCTAGATACTTCAGACTAGCGCGCCTCATGATTTTCGTCTGATTTCTGTGCAGAAAAGCTCTCAAGCTCATCTGCAGCTCGAGTTGAGTGAAGAAATTTACCACCATTTCGAAAACAATCGGTTGAATACGATTAGTTTTGCAGACCTAGCTCGAGTAGCAGACTGAGTTCAGAGCTCTAAATGCTTCAGCCGAACGCGCCTGATGATTCTAAATCGATTATCTGTGAGTACCAGCTCTGTAGCTATGCTACAGCTCGAGTTAAGTACAGAACACCGACAGCGCCTGTTAAGAGAACTCGAAGAATACGAATAGATTTGCGAACATAGCTCGAGTAACAGACCGCGTTCAGACCTGTGAATGCAACAGACAAACGCGCCTGATGATTCAGAATCGGTGTCTGTGCATATCAGCTCTGAAGCTCTCCTACAGCCTGAATTAAGTACAGAAAATTAACAGTAATGACTCGAATAATATGAATAGATTCGCGGACCTAGCTGGAGTAGCAGACCGAGTTCAGACCTCTAGATGTAGCAGACGAACGCGCAGGATGATTCTGAATCGGTTTCTGTAAGTTCCAGCTCTGTAGCTCTTCTCAATCTCGAGTTGAATACCGAAAACCGTCAGCGCGTGTCAAGATGACTCGAAACAGCCGATCCCGCCCGGACGCTTTTTGGCTGTAAAAGGTACCCGATCAAGCTGAGATGAAGACAGTCCAAAACCCGGAGAGCAAACAGGCAGTCCGGGAACTGGATAGCTTTCCTGAGCAGCTCTGGGGAGCTTTCCTGAAGCACTTCTGAAGCGCTGCCAGGCACGCTTCCACGCGTGCCTGCGCGCGTGCAAGCACGCGTGGACGCGTGCCGGAAGCGCTTCCGGACACGGTGCGAGGTTTTACAAGTTGCTGCAGGGATTCTGGAGCGGCGAAGATGGGCTGCTGGCAGGAACCACCACCGTCCGGCTTCCAATCTAAAACCCTATAGCTCTCAGAGAGCTCTCCGGGAAAAACCCGGAAAGCAAAGAGGCACTCACACTCGGAAGCTTTCCTGAAGAGCTCTGGGGGCTCGCCCGAAGCGCTTCTGAAGCGCTGCCAGGCACGCTTCCACGCGTGCCTGCACGCGTGCGGGCACGCGTGGACGCGTGCTGGAGACGCCCCCAGACCAGCTGCGGGGACAAACAGGCTCCTGCGACGATTCTGGAGCGGAGAAGATGGGCTGCTGGCAGGCACCACCACTGTCCGGCTTCTAATCTAAAGCCCTGTAGCTCTCAGAGAGCCCCCCAGGAATAAAGCTCGTGACGGAGCTCTGGAGCGCTGGAGACGCTGGAGCAGCTTCCCTGGGAAGCTCTGAAGACTATGGAAGGTTTTCCTGGCAAGCTTTGGGGGGTCCTCCTGAAACGCTTCTGAAGCGCAGCCAGCGACGCTTCCACGCATGCCTACTCGCGTGCAGGCGCGCGTGGACGCGAGCCTGGAGCGCCCCCGGACACGCTGCGAACTTTTATGATCGTTTTCCAAACTTAATTGATCGCGTCTCGGGGTGGTGTGGTTGGGGTGGGCCGTGTAAGATAGTAGTGCAGGTTATATCCCTCGTCCTGCCCTGCCTGTCTTTCGTGTCCGCTCAAGCTTTTTCTGGCTCGAGGACTTTCGAGCCAGGAGCGCGCGCGCGCCTCTCTGCCCCACCAGCGTGGGTGCTCGCGGCGCGGGCGCTGATCGTCGGCACCACGGCGAGGCGGTGGTGGCTCGCCAGCGCTGCCTTGCTCTCGTACATCGGGGACTGGGGGGTCCTCGACTCTATCCTCTCGAAGCCGCTCGTGGATCCCGAGGACGACGCGTCCCTGAGGTACACGAGAGAGTCCGAGCGGCTCAGCTTCTACGACTATCTGCGGGTGCACATGTCCAGCGTGACACGATGGAGCCGCTTCTATCGGACGACTGGCCCCCAGCGGGGGCAGGTGGTCCTCCTGGTGGTGCGAATGTACCCCAAGAAGAAGAACGACACAATATGGATCTACGTGAAGCCAGACCGCGCGCTCGGCGCGGGCGACGTCAAGGATCGGGCGAAGATGTCGAGTCGTCGACAGCCAGGCTGGGACTACGAGGCGTTCCCGACCCTCACAGCCAGCGAGAAGACGGACATCCTGGAGAAGGCCAAGGAGAAGCAGCTCGAGGCCGAGCTGTATCTGTCCAACGTCCGCGGCTACGTTGCCTCATTGTCATGGTTTCGCTCTGGTCTGGTTGGCGTATGGAGCACATGGAACTGGGGGTCGACGGTGGGCGCCGCCTTCTTTTTCTGGAGGGTGGCGGTCTACTGCAACCTATGGCAGTGGATGCGCTGGTAGTGGAGAAGCTCGAAGATGGCCACAACATGCTACTCGAGATTGACGACTTCCGAGGATATCTGCACGACCTGTACCAAGACGGCAAGCTCGATATTCCCATCATGATCTTCACCGCTGTGGTGGCTCTCGGGCCAAGTCTCCTGCGTTGCTGCAGGCAGCGCCCCTCCCCTTTGCTCGCGGGGGGTTCGCCTCCAGTGAGCGACGTGGAGAGCGACGGGGAAGCGGGCCACTCGGTGGCGGGGTCGTCGGACGAGTCCGAGCCAGCCAAGGACATGCAAGAGATGAAGGCCATGATGAGCAACTTGCTCGACGAGATCACCAAATCGAGGTCGGAATCACCGCGTGCCCCCACGAGTCGGAGTGCCTCGTCTGCCGCATCTCCTGGAGAGAGCAGTCGCGCCCGCTGGGAGAGAGTCCCCAGTGTCAACGCGGACTCCAGCACGGACATGCATGTGGACAGGATGATCGACCGGCTGAAGCGCTTCGAGGACACGATCAATGCGGACAAGGCCTCTCCTGGATGCAAGCCTTTGCAGGACGCTTCGTCCACGTCGGCCACGGCGGGATCAACGGCGTGCCCTACCATCGACCTGGGGGCGAAGGAGGCGCTGGAGGGCGCGGGGGTGAGCCTCGGGCCCTTGAGGGAGGCACCCCGGGACCCCAGGGAGCGGTTGCTGGCCAACCTCTCGAAGATCGATGCGCCGCCCACCTGCGCCCCCCCCAGCGGGCCTCACCTCCCGCGTGGCGCCCGAGCTGCTGGTCCAGACCTACGGGAAGTACGGCAGCATGGTGAAATTCGCGACGGACTGGGCTCGCCTCAAGGGGTTGAAGCGCAACCACATCGGCCACGAGATGATGCTGCACTGCATGGCGCTGGACTGGATGCTGGAGGCTTCGCCCGAGTTCATCCAGACGGCGGGCTGCGAGATCTTATGCGCGCGAGTTTATGCTTTGAAGCGGGCGTTCAAGGACGTGGCATGCATCGACGACTGGAAGCAGCCCCGGGGCAGCGGGGCCAACAAGTGGAAGTCCAAGGTGCGCTGGGACCTCGCGAACGAGTTGGACTGGAGGTCCCTCGCGGAGGGCGAGGAGGCGCTCCCAGGCGTGGAGCGCGACTTGACGGCCAGGCTGCAGCAGAAGGCTCTCTTCCAGAAGTATCTGCAGAAGGGGGGTTCGGACGCAGTGAAGGAGGAGGACGAGTAGACGTTGGGGGAACTCTCCCTGTCTGTGGTGCTTCGCGGGGCTCCCCGCGCTTGCGGGAGGGGCTGGCGGTTTACCGTTCCGTTCGCCCTGACGACGGCCACCCTGGTGGGCTTACTCTCCCGATAGCTACGGTGACGCTCCTGCTTGTCGCGACGATCTTTTCGCGTGGTTCTGCGCCCCATCGGGGGGCGACGCCATGGCCGCTTTTCTCCATCCACACGCTTCTCCATCGTCTACCTCGACGGCAGCCGCAGGCGCGCCTCCCGAAGCCGTTCCTCGAGACCGAGACCTTCTGCCGGATTTGCCGCTGCTACCTTGGTCGGTGGTGGTGGACCGCGCGGGGCCGATGCATCAAGGCACACTGAGACATGTGCGAGCTCTTGCCAATGGGCTGAGCCGATCCATGCACCACCTCTCTCGGGGCACGGTCGGAGCGGCCGAGGGCGCTGGGCCGTCGGCCGCGTGGGAGCAGGCGACACCGCTCCAGAGGGCTACTTCGAAGAGGTTACTGGAGGCGCGGCTAGCTTGGGGCAGCCAGGTGGCCGCGATCAAGGAAGACGAGGACGCCGCCCTTCGGCGCGTCATGGCCGGTCGGGCGTCGCCATGCTCAGGCGATGGGGCTGCGGTTGCCCTGGGAAAGGATTCAAAGGGAAGGGAGATGCTACCGAAGGGCGCGATGTGCTCCGTCGACGTGGAGGAACTGGCTCTTCCGCCGCCAGGGACCGTCCCTGCAAAGCTCGTGGACATCTGCCCGCTGGCCGCCGAATACTTCTCCGACGTTGCGGGGAGGATGCTACGCGAGCCCAGCACGGCCATGGACGAGGAGCTGAAGGGCCAGAAGGTCTACCGATATCCGTCTCTTCGATCGAGGGCGTCGCGTCTCCGCCTAGCCGAGAGGCTTTGGGATGCGGGGATGCTCGGGACCACCGACGAGCTCGTCGAGGGGGTCTCGCTTTCCGGGGTCATCATGAAGTACCTGCAGGAGGAGGCGGACCCCCTCAGCCCCGCCAGGCGCCAGGTGCGCGCCATCTGGGACCAGAGGCGGGCCAACCTCCGCTGGCAGAGGCCCCCGTGCGTACCCCTCGGCAGCCCCGCTACCTTTGCTCACGTGGACCTCTCCAACCTGGGCGAGATGGACGTGGTCTACACTGGCGTGGGCGACATCCCGGACATGTTCTATCGTTCGGAGACGCCGCCCGATGTCTGGCCCTACTTTGTCTTGGAGGAGGTGCCAGTCCACGAGTTCGTCGAGTGCATGAGGACCAAGGGGCGGGACTGCGTCATCCCCGATGGCGGGCCCTTCCTGGCGCTGAAGGTCCTGGTCATGGGCTGGTCGTGGGCACCGTTCTTGGCCCACTCTACGCTGCAGGCCTGCATGGCGCGCGGGCTCGGGGAGGACTCCGTCGGTGCGCGCCTGGTCTACGGGGCTCCGACGCCTCAACTGATCGGGCCCGAGGGGTTCGAGCCGGTGAACTGGGCGTACATGGACGACTATGGGGTCATGGCCGCGTCCGCCAGTGTGCAGCAGCCGGTGAGCGAGGTCGTGAGCGGGCTGACGACCCGAATCAAGCACTACTTGGGGCAGGTCGGGCTCCCCGTCCACAAGGAGACCGAAGGCGAGGGGCTCGAGTCGTTGGGGGCGGTCATCCGAGGCCGACCCTACTCCGTCCGGCCGAGACCGATCGCACCTGCGGCCTGGCTCTGGTGACGCTGCAGCTGGCAGAGCGGACGTACTGGACCTCGGAGCTCCTCGAGCGTGTCGTGGGGTTGTGGGCGTGGGCGGCCATCTTCCAGCGCGCGGGCTTCGCCATCTTCGACCAGGTGTACCACGAGATGAGACGTCCCGAGACCGCCAAGACGCCGTTCCGACTGACGGACGCGGCGAGGTGGGAGCTGACTACGATGGCATACTGCGCACCCCTCTTACGTACATATCTCGAAGCTCCGTGGCTCTCGCAGGTGTTCATGGCGGACTCCAGCGACACGGGCTACGGAGTGGCGGTCACCGACGCCTCGCTGGAAGAGATCAGGAAGGACGCGCGTTACAGCGAGATGAGGGGATGAACGATCGCCACCGAGGACATTTACACAGCCCAGGAGGAGCGAGGATCGAGGTGAGGCGGGGCGATCGAGTCAGAGTCCCCCCGCTGTCCCCCGCCTGGATGCCGATCGCGAGGTGGCGGCCGCTCTACTTCGGGAGGTGGAGGATCACGGAGCACACGAACATCAACGAGACGCGGGCCGTGGTGGGCCTGCTGCGACACCTGGCCAGATCATCACTGATGTGGAGGCGGAAGGTCCTGCTCGTCACCGACAGCATGGTGGCTCTGGGGGCCCTGGGCAAGGGCCGCTCGAGTTCGCCAGCCCTGTTGCGCTTGTGCCGCCAGGTGGCGGCGATCACCATGAGCTTCGCGATTCGTGGGTACTGCCGCTACGTCCCGTCGGAGCTGAACGTCGCCGACGGCCTCTCTCGGGGGGGCTTCCTCGGCGCGGCGCCCGAGACGGTAGCAGCTCGCAGCGACCGACACCCCGCTCCAACGGACAGCCGAGGTCACGATCTACGCGACCTGGGCCGCGCATGTACGGGTATACGCTGGTGGGTAGCCGCCGTGGCATTGGAGGCAGTCCACCCTGTTGGAGCGGTTCGCCCGAAGCCGCCCAAGGCGGGAGACGCCCCCCTGCAGAAGCGGGGGCCACAGGCGTGGGAGAACTACGAGAAGAGACCGCACCTGGGCATCAGCGAGGGCGGCTTCACGAGGCTGCTCACCCATTCCGTGGCGGACGTCACTGCGGTGCAGTGGGCCCCGAAGGTTCGAGACTTTCTTAGCCACTGTGTCGACAAGGGTTGGGAGCTGCGGTCTGCGAGCGCCGTGGGCCACGCCCTGGCCGACTACATGGACATGAAGTGCTACAAGGACCGGCTCCGTCCTACGTGGGGGTCGATCGTCTTGTTCGGGTTGCTGGTGATTTGGCCTGAGCTGAGGAACCAGCTTCCTCTGGCCTTGCGAAGCCTGAAGAGTTGGCAGAGGCTGATTATCTCTGTGGAAGGGGGCCCTCTGCCTGAGGAAGCTGTCTTCGCCATCGCCATCTACTTCTTCGAGGCGGGGCTCCTGGACGAAGCCATCTGGACCCTCGTGCAGTACGACGTCTACGGGCGGGAGCAGGACATGGAGATGCTGCGCGAGGCCGACATCATTTGGGATGGCCGATGCGTGGGCCTCCTGTTTGGCATCTCGGCCAGAGGCGAGGAGGGCAAGACGGGCAGCAATCAAGGGGTCGTCATCCGCCGCGGCACGGTCGCGAGCTTCATCTTGGCCCTGAAGGACGTCAAGAAGAATGCCACGGGGCCCATCTTCGGCCCCAAGCAGGCAGGCTTCCGCAAAGAGTGGCACCGCGCATGTCGCTCGCTTGGGATGCCCTGGGCGCCGCCTCCGCACGGGCTCCGCCACTCGGGGCCCAGCGAGGACGTGGCCCGAGGACGGGCCAGCCTAGAGCAGGTGCGGAGGCGGGGCAGGTGGAAGGCCTTGTCCAGCGTCCAACGGTGCTCCAAGACGTTCGCCCTCACGCAGTTCCGTGCAAAAATGACGAAGAAGCTGCTGGGCGTGGGCTCCCGTGCGACTTCAGACCTGGCTGCCGAGATACTCCGCGCGATGGAGTCCCGCACCAACTACAGCAAGCAGCAGCAGCAGCAGCAGCTGGTCGAAGGCATCAGGACGAATCTGAAGACGAAGAAGGTGAAAGATGTCGCCGCAGAGCTCTTGATGCTGGGACCCACCACAAAGCAGAAGCAGAATACCACCGCCAACAATAATTCCACCAAGGGTGACACAAGCTGCCCAGAGTCAGACGACCTCTACTCCGACGACACGTGGGGAGAGGGAACTGGATGGTGGACAGAGTGAGGCGACAGGCCGAGTGGGGGCGCCCCATGTGGGCGGCTAGGGGCGCTATACGAGGGCTCCTAGAGGTGGTGGCCTACGGGCGCGACCACCACCCCACGGTGAGCTTGGCCGTTCGCATGGATATCTTCGTTGTGGGCCCCGCCCGCCCGCCCTGGCCACAACGTGAAGTTTTTCGGCTACGCCAGGCGCATCAAATGCGGGAGTGGGACTGAGAATCTTCTGATGCCGATCGCAACTCGAGTTTTTGATGGTTGTGATTTGGTTGAGGTTATATGGATCTCAATCGGCCTCCCGTTGAATGATTATATATATATATATATATATATCTTTGGCCCGTCTGGGCCCTCGTGCAGTGTGTGGTTGAAACAGGACTTCTTCATAGGCCGCTTCGCGGCGTTGCTGCACGTCCCGCTGTCAGCTACTGCGTATCCTGTCAGCTGTGCTGGCCCCCCGCCTGCCCCCTGAGACGTAGCGATCATGATCGTTTTCCAAACTTAATTGATCGCGTCTCGGGGTGGTGTGGTTGGGGTGGGCCGTGTAAGATAGTAGTGCAGGTTATATCCCTCGTCCTGCCCTGCCTGTCTTTCGTGTCCGCGCAAGCTTCCCTCCCTTTTTGAACGCTTTGCCCGGCCCTGCTCTCACGACACGTGGGACTGAGAATCTTCTGATGCCGATCGCAACTCGAGTTTTTGATGGTTGTGATTTGGTTGGGGTTATATGGATCTCAATCGGCCTCCCGTTGAATGATTATATATCTTTGGCCCGTCTGGGCCCTGGTGCAATGTGTGGTTAAAACAAGACTTCTTCATGGGCCGCTTCGCGGCGTTGCTGCACGTCCCGCTGTCAGCTACTGTGAATCCTGTCAGCTGTGCTGGCCCCCCGCCTGCCCCCTGAGACGTAGCGATAACAAATCTCTGCGGGGATCGTGGACCGGCGGAGGTGGGCGTGTCCCCCTCACCACCCTCGCCTCCCCAAGGAGCTATCCGGGAACCCAGCAGAGCTCCTCGACATCGATGAGCTAGAGGAATTCTGGCGCGGAGTGCAGCTAGTACCTCGTAATGCTCTTCGGCATCGATGGGCTAAAGAAAA